ATTATAATTTATGTAACTTTACAATTTGCTCAGAAACATTCCTTTTCTAGTTGGGGAAATTTTCCTTAAGAAAAAAAATTTAATGCACAGCTCTACATGCATTATATTTCTTTAACATTTGAAAAGGGTGCTCACTGCAAACCCCATTCCAAAAGGACGGAAGGAGGAAACTGAGCAGGACTGGAAGACCCTAAAGCCCTCAACAGAGGAGAGTCATTTCATTTTCATTCTTCTTGTTAAAACAGAGAGACCAGCAGCCCCGAAGTTTGCTCCTAAGAAAAGCACCAAAGTAACCTCCAGACTTAATCAGTAACAAAAAGGAAAAGGCCTCAGGGACTGTCCCCGCCCCCCGCCCCCACCACCCTGGGGCACTGTTGCCTTTTATCTCCAGCCTCGTCTTCCTTTTGCAGCTCAGACAACCTCCCTACCAGCTGTGCTACACTCTTTCTCTTTTATGCACTTCTTCCCTTTTGGTTCTTATTCTGGGAGAACAGCATGAATGATCCCAGAGCCTCCTTTTCAGCATTACGAAGACAAAGCCCTGGAGATTTTAAAAATAGTAATGCTGGGGACTGATTCCCAGAGATTCTGATCTAGTTGGTCCAGGGTGTAGCCTGGACATCAGGATTTTTTTTTTTTAACCTTCCCAGGCAATTCCAATAGGCAGCTAGAGTGGATGTCACTGGTAAAACCTTCATGGTGGCTCTCAACTCTGCCTTCATCAGAATTACCTTTGGCCTTTTCTTTAAAACACCCAGACCTCATTTTCCTAGTGATTTTGATCTGGGAGGTCCTGGGGCTATAGGCTATTCTGCCTTCCAGCTGCATTTGGGATGCTTGGGGTAAACCTTGCTATTCTCTGAGCTCCCCTAGGCCATGGCCTGGAGTCTCACCTATGAGGCAGCAACCCAGGCGCCGCCTGTGCCCCACTGGGTGAGTTTTCTTTCAGAAGCACATTGAGCTCCCAACTCAATGAATGAGGTCTGAGTACCGTAGAGCCTTGAACACCCCCCATCCTCCACACAGTCCAAAAATCTACGTATTAACTTTTGACTCCCCAAAAACTTATTTGTCCCTGGGTATCCGCAGGGGATTAATTCCAGGACCCCTCCATCTGCCATCGATATAAAAATCTGCAGATGCTCAAGTTCTTTATATAAATGCCGTAAATGTAGTCGGCCCTACACACCAGCAGGCTCCCATCCAGGGACCACAAACAATACAGGTATTTACTGAAAAAAAAAAAAAAAAAAACCCATATAAGTGAACCCACATAGTCAAAACCTGTGATGTTCAAGGATCAGCTGTATTTGCAGCTGTGACGCTAAGGTGACGGCCACCTCGCTGGCATTAGGACTTTCCTAGTGGGCCAGGGCCATCGCCAGGGTGGTTTTGAAGTAGGCAGGGCTGGTTGTGAAGGACCTACAACATGGTAGGAAGAACATGGAAAGTCAGCGAAATGTGACCCAGCCCAGGACCTTATCTTTCTCCGGGGTGTCTGGAGCATCTTTGCAACTTGCCACACATGATGGGGCAGTCAGCAGTCCATCTCTCTTCTTGCTATGAGTTTTGTGAGTTTGTCATTAAATCACTCTCTCAGAGTATCATCCAAACTAATGTGCATTACCCCAGAAAGGTAGCCTGCTTGGTTGACAGTATTAGCTTTTAAACCTCTAGAAGCTCCCCATTCCTAATCTGCAAGACAAGATAAATACAGCCCTGACTTCACAACTGTGATTGTTGGGATTAAAAGAGGTATTTCAAGTAGGAGTTTAGCATACTTCCTAGATAAATGGTATGTGCTGTAATTAGCACCTGGCTGCCACTCTTATTTAAATAGTATTTCTTAGAGTTCCCAGCTTTCCTTCGTTAATTCATAGGGTTTTCAGAACCTAGTGTTTGGGGAGGTGTTCGAATCAGGCCTGCAGGTTAGAGTAGCAACATTTCAAGCCACGTGCAGTTACTTCAGGGGACTCACCCAACTCTAACCCCGACCTTCCACAAACCTTTCTGCTAATCCTCTTCACACTACCTTTCTCTAGAAAGAAGTTGTCTACAGAGAAGTCTCATTGACCTGGCCGCAACTCCTGGTTAGAAACCTAAGACTTCACCCCAAAGCCAAGGCTCCCCAGAGCATGCTGTTCAGTGGCTCAGCAGTTTTTGCATAGCTAGGCCCTGGCCCAGGGAGCATGGAGGGAGCCACTGGCCTACAGTGGTTGGTGGAAGGGCAGGCAGAGAGGTATGCGTAGCCCTGCGGGCATTCAGAGGAGGGGAGTTTAGGGAGATCCAAGGAAAGAGACATGAAAAAGGAATGGATGGGGGTTGGGCCTGTGAATCATCTTTTTGGAGAATGCAGTCTTTGAAATGGAGTCTGAGGCAGAGAAGGGAACAGGAGCTGAGATGGGTAAGAGGAAGGACAGCCATTCACTCATTAGGCAGGGGTGTCCTGAGTGTCTATGGGCAGGACACACGTTCATTTGACACGGGGCTAGTGAGGAGGGAGGGACGACTCGGGTTAGCTGCCTCAGTCTTCTCCCTGCCAGACCAAGTCTACGAGAGCCAGCAGTCTTATTCAGAATCCTGTGGTCCAGATCCTATCTCAAAAAGTCTTCTTGCTAGAGATGTCCCCTCTTCCGCTTTGTTTCTCCTCCTTCCAGGGCCTGCTGCCTCCTCCTCAGGTCTGTAGAGAACCCTATGTGGCAGTTTCCATCCTAGTTGGCCCTCCTCAGCTGCCTTACTTACCAAGCAATGAAAGCCCTTTGCACCCTTGTTGAACCTATAACCTAAACCTTTTACGCTATCATGATTGGAGGCTAAGCCAAAAGCTAGATTTGGTTAAGAGCTGAATCTGTGGCATTCTCATCCCAACCCCTGTTTAATATGCAGAGGGAGCAGCCTGGTAGTGATCGAGAACCCAGACTCTGAGGTCAGCAGATCTGGGTTTGAATTTCTCTCTCTTCCCTAGCATGGTGGATGCAGCCAAGCGACTTGACTTTTCTGTGCAAGAGTTAATGAGAAACGGGATGCTAAGTGTAAGATAACCCTTAACAGAAAAGCAGGTGCCTGACTTCAAACTAAAAAGTACCTTTCTATAAGGTACATAACTGGGTTTATGGACACAGAATGCCAGTGAAAGACTCCCATTAAGCAGTGTTAAGACAGAAGCTCATGTGCGCTGGTATCCCAGGTTGTATGTAGCCTTAAGCAGCAATTTTTGCATCTAATGTTTGCCATAAATCTTAACCCCGTACAACACTTATTCCTTTAACATTTAAATGATGAAATGTGTTAACATTGAGCAAAACCTATGTTCCAGGAAAATATACTGTACAGCAAGTCCTCACTTAATGTCATTGATAAGTGCTGAGCGCTGAGACTTTACACAAAATGATGTATAACAAAACCAATTTTACCATAGGCTAATTGGTATAAATAAGAGTTAATTTCATTAAGTGTGATGATAGCTGGGGGATAGGGGGAGGGGCATAAGGGGACTAAATGGTAATAAAAAAATACAATAAGATTAAATTTTTAAAAAAGAATTAAGTTCATTAACATTATAATGAAATGCTATAATGAAACAAGGTTACAGTCACACAACATTATAACAAAACGAGGGTATCCGTTATTTCCATTATTCAAGGAGCCAGGCTCCAGGGACCCATTCAGCACTCAGGGTCTGGCAGCCAGGAACACAGGTTCAGGGTTGTCCCAGACGACGCTTCCAGGGCCAGCGCCGGCACCATTGCAGACACACCAAGAGCCTGCACCGCTCCTTTCATTTTTCCTTGCTCCTCAAATGTCTTAAAAGTGAAGGTGATAGGCTGGCTACTTCACCAAAAGGTAGACTCTAAAAAAAAAAAAAAAAAAAAAAGTGTAGCTATCATTGCCATATTTGAGGAGGAAAACAAAACAAAACTTAAAACGGGTGTGTGACGTTTGGGGCACAGCTGCTCCTCAGGGAAGTCCCCAGTGGGAAGGAAGTTTCCCCACCTGAGGAGGCAGCGGTTGGTGATCAAACATTTTCATCACGATTTGAAAGTCACCCCAGACAAAGGGGCAATGTGTAAGCTAAATATCTTCTATTGAAAAGAATCATATGCTTGGAGGGGTGGAAAATACCTGCATCAGGAAACGGCCATCACTCCCTCACAGCTAGAATATATCCTAAGGAATCATGTAAGAACCGCTCGTGGCTGCCCCAGAACTGGGGTGAGTAGCACAGGCGAGAGTGAGATGGAAGCAGCCGCATAGCCTTTAGCACATAGGAGGAGGTTTTACTAAAATGATTGATGCCAAAGAGCCTCGGAATTGTAGCAATACCAGTAATAATAGCGCTTGTGTTGATACTGCCCTTTAAAGTCTACATGCAGCTCACGAACATGCCCTCTTTTGTGCCCTTACTAATCCTCAGTGGAGAGAGGCCAGGTGTTGTTTGTTGGAAATGAGGACCAGGGTTCACAGTAGCGGCTCCTCAAGCCCTACAATTACTAGTTAGTTATGCTGGCCCCCGCTTCAGTACATGCCCCTTGTGCTGGGCCACCAGGTTAATACTTGCAGAACGAATTAAACTCGAAGAAGATAAGCAAACCACAGCCTGTGTCTCCAGCTGGTTTAGTGTGTTTTCTTGAACTCATCAGAAATTCTGAACACACACATTTGGTTTAAAAATAACCTGAATTTTTACAAACTTCCGAAATGAACTTGGTGTCATAAACACATTTGCTGCTGCCTTCACTCCTCCAAGTGCTGGCATGGTGACAATAATAACGAAGCGCTTCAGCAGCACCTTTGACCCTCATGTGATAAAGCCGATTCCTCACGCCTCGTTCTCCAAGAGGTGCCTGTGCAGGGAAGTGGGAGTGACTTTACCGACACCTGGAGGGGTCTCTTTGGGCTTTTCCGAGATCTTTGGGTCCCTCCAGCCCAGCCTTCCCTGGGGAGTTGGGGGAATAAGACCTTCTGCCAGGAGAGTGTGCTGATGTCCCTTTCTTCCCCAGCTGCCATTCTGGGTACATTGGAGCACGCTGTGAGCACGCAGACCTCCTGGCCGTGGTGGCCGCCAGCCAGAAGAAACAGGCCATCACTGCCTTAGTGGTGGTTTCCATCGTGGCCTTGGCCGGCCTCATCATCACGTGTGTGCTGATACAGTGAGTATTTGCTGCCCCTAAGGTCGAGTCTCCGGCCTTCCCAGGGACATCTGCAGCATGCCCATGTAGCAGGGCGTGTTTGAGACTGTGATGTCTGATTGGTGTCGGCTCAGCCAAGTAGAACTTAGGTGACAGCCAAAAAGGCACACAACCTGGAAGGGCCCCAGCAGTGGGTCTCTCTCTCGCTCTCCCTGTTGGGTTTGGAGCCTTCACTGTTTCCTGAAGGGCATGTCCAGGTCCTCCAGAGTTAACTGGAAACAGCGCCCGGCCTCATTTGGACAGGAGCTCTTTGCAAATCATAAAGCCGCGCAAAGGCCACTGTTAATGTTGTGACAGGTTAATGACAGCCCTCCCTCTTTTTTGTACTTCTCTGCCCAGCTCATACTCCAAAATAGTTTCTGCCTTGCATCTTCCAAGAAGCCTTCCTGAGCCCCGACCATTAGAGAGATTGCGGATGTTTCTTCCCCTTGTTTGCTTGCCTGTATCTTTCAACAGGACTGCTCCGCACAGGGAGAAACTCTCGGGGTGAATTCCCAGCATCTTCCCAGATGTGTTCCCTGGAAACATTGGGAGATGTCTAAGTCACAAAGCAAGCCCTCAGAGAACGTATACCTAATTGGATATAGACAGGAAATTCACAGCTAAAGGCTGCCAGGAGCTTAGTATAGATTAACACATGGTGGGGAGACAGTAAGTAGACGGGGTCATTGTGGTAAGGGCGTGTTAATGCAGGAAGCCAGACTTCAGCCCCCTGAGGTTGCCTAGGATCTTGGACAGATAAATAAGCGTCTCTGCCCTGTTTGTTTATTGGTTTGTTGGTATTGGGACATCTAAACCCATGTTCCTGCTGAGTGAAATAAGACAGAGAAAGACAAATGCCATATGATTTTACTTATATGTGAAATCTAAAAAATATAAAAATAAACAAAACAGAAACAGACTCATAGATACATAGAACATTTGACAGTTGCCAGATAGGGGGTTAGGAAATGGATGAAAAAGGGGAAAGAATTAAGAAGTACAAATTGGTAGTTACAAAATAACCATGAGTATGTAAAGTATAACATAGGGAACATAGGGTCAATAATATTGTGATATCTATGTACTATGTCAGACGGGTACTAGATTTACTGTGGAGGGCACTCCACAAGTTATATAAATGTTTAATCACTATGTTGTAAAAAAAAAAAAGTTCATACTATATTATTCCATTGTTATAAAACTGTAGACAAACCAAATTGGTCTCTAGTAACAGAAAGTAGATCAGTATGCTTGGGGAAAGTGGGACAGGCGGGGGAGAGAGGGAGAAGTGGAGACTGTTACAAAGGAACACCGGGACTCGGCGGGGGGAGCGGGGGTGACGGATATGTTCATTATTTTAACTGTGGTGATGGCTGCATATATGTATACATATATCAAAACTTACCAAATTGTACACTTTAGCATGTACAGTTTATTGTATGTCAATTATATCTCAGTAAAAATATTTAAAATTTAAAAATTTTTTTAAATAAAAATAAAGCATAGGCTCCAGGTTCTGGCAATGAAAGGAGTGGCCTTTAGAGCCCCGGCTTGTTGACAGCAGCCACAGCCTGCTCACGTCCTTCTCCTGGAACAAGCCGGCACTAAGTGGTGAGAGATGAGGTCTGAACTGGACTGGCCTTTCCTTCCTCTGCTGGCAGTATCTGTTCCACTCCCATCTGTCTTGGGCAAACATGTTTGAGGTAAAAAAAAAAAAAAAAAGCAACCCTGGTTCAAGCTGGGGCAGAGCTCAGGTTCTGCCTCTTATGAAGACCCTCCATAAAGGAGCAGTAGCAATTGCTGGCGTAATGGACCACTGCTAGCTACCTGTGCTCACCCATCACTTCTATCATCCTGTTTCTATGGCCAGGGTGGTGCTAGAGCCCAAGAATAAGACTGAGTGACCACGTGGCCTCTCCAGAGGGACTTAAAAGCTCATTTTCACCAGATGTTTTGGAGACAAGAACAAACCAGGATACCTGGACAGCCTCTCTCATTCCCAGGAAGGCAGCCAGTCCCACCTTTCCTGTCCTTTGCCAGCCCGTCCTTGCCAGATACCAAGTTCAGAATCTCTGAGCCAGAGACTAAGCCCTCGTGCCCAGCAGGCTGCTAATTGCCTGGGCAGGGGGCCCTCCTGAGTTGCAGAATTGGTTGGGACCAGCTCATCCCATGCCAGAGAAATCAGGAGGCTTTGATCTCACTGCCCTTGAGATGCTCCTGGCTGGGATGTGACAGGGGCAAGACCACCTGGCTATCAGAGTGCAAGACAGCGATCACTGATGGATCTGGAATCAAGGCCTTCAGTATGGGATGAACCTGGACTGTGCAACTCAGGAGGGACCCTTGCCAGGCAGACCGCTCTGGCCGCCATGCCAGAAGCAAGGGGGGCAGAAATGCTGCAGGGCACCTTCTCAGCTCTGCTGCCCAGTAACCTCCCCAGGACTGGAAGAGGGGTCGTGAATTCCACCAGGCTCCAAGAGGGAAGGAAGCACAGCAACAGGCTTGTTTCCTCATCTGTTCTCAGGCTCGTGTCAGCCAGGAGATCCCTCCCAGCCCCACTCAGCAGATGCATAGATTATACATATGTTAAGGTTAAAAGTAGTGGACATGAAGTCTTCCACTGCATCCCATGGGAGACAGCCATCAGTGTCTCTGGGTAATGAATGACTTAGTGCTTTCTTTTCTGATTTTTTTTTTTTTTTTTGAGTTCTCTGGTTCTTTTTTCATGCTAACTCTGCCCCTAGAAGAAGGCAGGAGAGGCCATAACCCTAACACTTCAGGACTCGGTAACGCAGGTTCACCGGGAGGTTGGGTTTGCCACAAAGAGATGATATTAGTCCTCAGAGAAGGATTCAAAGCCACTGAGATCCATGACTATTCTCTCATTCTTTCCATGGGTCAGTTCAGCCCATCCATGGTCCCTTATTTGCAGCTGACAATACCCTGCCAGCTGGAAGTGACTGCTTTGTCCCAGTCCTGACAGCAGTCCTGAGACTATTACTACACTTACGGAATTACCCATCTGCTGCTTTATGGAGCAGGCAGCCCGGTGGGTGACAGGCCCCTCTGTGAGCCGGGAAAGCGAGAGCCAGGTTGCCCTGAGCAGAACTGCACACACAGAGCTGGTACTTTGGGGCGGCCCATGGGTGCTCTTGTTATTGGCCAGCCTCTGCCCTAAAGGCCACCACCCAGACAGGCCCTCAGTCCCCTGCTGTGTCTGTCCCTCTGGAGGACCCCCCAAGAGACCAGTTTAAAGCCTAGAGCTGCCCAACAGGCCCCTCTGGGGCAGACACTGTGCCAACTGAGCGCCCCTGGCAGGCTCCTGCGTTGACCATGTTCTCTGTCTTTGCAGCTGCTGCCAGGTCCGAAAACACTGTGAGTGGTGCCGGGCCCTCATCTGCCGGCACGAGAAGCCCAGTGCCCTCCTGAAAGGAAGGGCCGCTTGCTGCCACTCGGAAACAGGTAAGGGGCTGCATGGACGAGGGACCTTTTTATCCGGGGGAGACACTACTAGGTGGAGAAAACCACCATCTTTCCTCCCGGTCAGGGCAGAAGTTCTTGGAGCTTGAAGCAGGAGAAGGGAGAAAAGGAAGGCAATATTTATCTACCAAATGAAGTTTAGTTTATTAGTTTATTCTAAGGTCTGTTTTAGTCAAAGGAGAGCTCTTTATCCGTACAGGTGTCTGTGTGATTTTTAACAAGCTACGCAGCCTCTCTGAGCCTCAGTTTTCTTAATAAAAAATGTTGTATAAATTGAATAAGCACTGAATAAAGTATCTAGTATAGTGGATCACCAACTGTAGATATGCAACAGGCGTTCGTTTTCTTTCCCTTGAAAAATCACCTTCCTTTTCCCATCTGTGAAGTGAGGGATTTGGCCTATAGAAGATCTCTAAGAACACTTTAAACTTTTAGGTTTTGTGTCCATCATTAAGTTTTCCATTGTTTCGTGAATGTTTTTCAGCATCCATGAAGCAGATTGGACATCTAGATGTGAGGCCAAATGTACATATCAGGAGCCCACATCTGAGCATCACTAGCTTGGAGCTCACAAAGCCAAATTGCTCCTTTATCCAGGCAAGCTCTGGGAAATCTCACATCAGCAGTTTTTCTGGAATGTACTTAGACCAACACAGCTCATCATAAAATTTCCTTTTCAGAAGTAGTAGGTCAGCAGGCTGATCCACCCCAAGGTGGCCTTCTCTAGTAAACAGCTGACATTCCAGAAGCTCAAGATTGCATGCGGAGTATAGGAAGAAAGGCAGATAGGAAGTTGGAACACTGTTATGTTTGTTAAACCATGTTTTTGGACAGGAGTACCCAGCTGGTTCCGTGTCTGCCCCAGAGGCCTGCTGGGCAGCTCTAGGCTTTAAACTGGTCTCTTGGGGGGCCCTCCAGAGGGACAGACACAGCAGGGGACTGAGGGCCTGCCTGGGTGGTGGCCTCTAGGGCAGAGGCTGGCCAGTAACAAAAGCATCCTTGGGCCGCCCCAAAATAACAGCTCTGTGTGTGCAGCTCTGCTCAGGGCAACCTGGCTCTAACTTTCCTGGCTCACAGAGGGGCCTGTCACCCACCGGGCTGCCTGCTCCATAAAGCAAGAGCACCATTTATTTGGTCTTCATTTCAAGAACCACAGTAATTGTATGTGGGCAGTTCTTTTGACTTGGGAGGATACTAATCTGCTAATCCATTAATCCTCCAAAAAAGCCTTAAGGAGGAGGAGGATTTGTGGGTAATGCAGGTAAACTGAGACTGCCACAGACCTGCTTGGGTCCTACTATGAGTCCATGGGGGAGCTAGGATGAGAACCAAGGCCCTGAAGACCTCGCTCATATCTCTCTTCCACTACCTCTAGGGCCATCCATTGGTCTTTTAGCACCAACAGAAAAATTAAATCTTTTCAGAAACTTTATACTAGATTTTGTACCAGTTGTCTGCACCTCAACAGAGTCATTCAGGGTAGAGTAAGTTCCTTCCTAATGTTACTTCTCCTCTACGCACATTTGAGAGGACTTTAGCCTTGAGCATGGGGATGGGTCTGGGCTTCCAGAGATGGGCACTGAGGCTAAAGTCCCTGTCCCTGAGATGATGCAAACCTCCTCACCTCTAGAGGGGCCATGGGAAGGACCGAGCTAGGAAGTTGTCCGGGCTGACTCAGGAGCTGCTGGGAATGGGGTCCGTGCTGCCTCACCATGACAGCCACAGAGGATGCCCTCAGGGCCCCACCCATTGAGAAACAAATGGCTCCATTCTTGCATGGCCACTGGAGAAGCCATTCTACCACCAGAACCCTAGACCAGCTCATGAGCTGCCCACTAAACCATTCTCTGTAGGGGAACTGGCCACAGGCTGGGTCGAATCACCTCCGGCTGAACAGGCCCACACAACAGTGCATCCCCCATTCTCTCCTGCCGCAACTCATTTAACTTTTGGTCAGCCTTTTCTTTGGCACTGAAAACACAGTTTCAGAAGCTTCTGCCCCTGAAGTTGAACCAGCTAAATTTGGGCTTGGATCTGACTGCACGAGAGAAGTTGGTGACCTTGGCTGATAGATCTCCAAGGTTCTGTCTCAAGCCTGTTTGCTAGCATGGCTGGGGACTGGCCCACAGAACTTAACCTGTTTTTCCTTCCTCACAGTGGTCTGAAGAGCCCAGAGGAGGAGTTCAGCCAGATGGACTGCGGCAGCCCTGATGAAGAATGAACTTCTTCAGGACGGCCCGGCAAGGGGTGCCCGGGATGTGCCGGCAGACCTTCTCGCTCTGCCTGCAATCACCCGTGCAGCCTTTTGTATTTTGTGGGCCTTCCTTCAAACTCTATCAAGAACTCTGTCTGCTTGGGGTTATTCGGTGTGACCTAGAAAAGAAATCCGTGGATCGCAATTTAAAGACTGGCCAAAAATGAACTGCAAAGGGGTCCTGTTTACCCATATAAGGTGTGTGCGTCAGCCGCAGTCTGAGTCCAGGTGTAGTTGTCTTCTACCATTCACGGATGCCAGACCGTGTTTCTTTCTAATGGGCCCACGACAGCATGCAGCTTGCCCAACACTGGAGATTCCTATAGTTGTTACATCTTTTTCTCATCCACTCATTGGGGAAGAAGGTGGAGAAAGGGTAACTGCTGATTGTTATATGAGGATGCCAACTTTAAGAAGAGCTGTGTCCGTCCTCTGTCCACAAGACCCTCAACCAGCCCAACATCTTCCACAAACATATGATGTTGAGGACCTTCCCAAGTCATCACCACCCTTGGAGGTGATTTCGTATTTATTAGCTGGATGATGTTTTTATTTTTAATCTCTTAAGCCAATGTAAAAAGCATAAAACTCTTTTACACTTCTACATTAATGATGGATGTGTTGCTGGCTGCAAAGTTATACAGTACTGATTAAAAAGGTCTGTCCTCTTTGGAATACCTACCCACAAGGTACAGAGATGGAAGCAGAAGTTGAGTTGCTGATGGTAGCAAAGAGTAGGGTTCAGATATTGTGCCATTTAAGACATGAAGCAGATAAATTCTTCCAGATACATTCTGGTGGGAAAGTTAGCTGATCCAGCAGCATAGATTTGTCATCTCTGTTGGGGGAGAGAGGAAGAACGTGTGTGTGTCTACACAGGTTCAACACAATACTTGCTACACTGCTCCATGATTAACATATTAACTTCCTCGTGAGCCTTCCAAGAGTGTGCTACAAAATAGAGCATCAGCCAAGAGTCATGGGCGTTTGGGACCACACCCATGAAAGGGAACTGGTCATTTATTTTCCATTCTGTCATTTGGTTGATTTGTTACTTCATTTTTAAAAGGAAAAATTTAATTTTTTTAATTTATTTTCAAGCGTGAGGAGAAATATTACAATTTGTTTATTTGTTTTTCAAAGCTCTAACAAGCCATCTCCAGTATGAGGGCCCCACTTTTCCCTCAGAGAAGGGAGAAAAAACACGGGGCACATGCCTGCCTGTGGGAAACACTGCTCCCCTCCAGCTAAACAGTGGGGCGCTCATCCCCAGGAATTGTCATTAAAATTTGGGAATGGAATAACAATGAAATATATAAACTCATGTGAGGGAAGTCTTCTTCACTAACATTTAGGAAAAATGAAAGATTTCTACCTGTTAACCCTTCAATGCATTCCCCAGTCTGTCTATTTCAATGAATTTTCTCTCCCTTTCTTACAATAGAGACAATTTTATATCCTGTGTCTTAACATCAGCACTTTCATGGAACCATGGTGCACCCATAGCTCTGAGAGCAGAAATGGGATCCGTTCACCAGTTGGCCCCCAACCATGTAATTGATGCAGATCTCAGTTTTAATTATAAAAGAAAATAGGTCTAAGTTTACATTCCTGAGACCAGTCCTACAGCAACAGAATGGGGGCTGAGGCTGCTATGGGTAGCAGCTCACGCGGAGACCAATCCAATTGCTGCTGGCTTACAGGCTCTGGTGTCACTTTTCCCATCAGACAGTCTGAGATTCCTGTTTAGAAAAACTAGTGAAAGTGGAGTAGTGTCACTTGTTAACTTGAGGTCACATTTTTACTTTAGGACAATCTTTCTCAGTCTTTTGGAGACTCTTTGGGGTCTAATTGCTGTGAAAGAATATGGACAGATGTGAACATGTCTGCGGGGCTTTCGTCACCTAATGAATGGAAGGATCAGTGTCCAGCCTGTAGGCTTCCAAGAGCCTTTGCTGAAGTGTGAGGAGACATGGATAGGAGCAGAAGGAAAACTTCATGGTTCCCTGTGGGGACTTCAGATTTAGTGTCTGTGAACGTCCTGGTCCTCAGGTCTAACAAGTTTATAGTTGCCAGCACCCACTTCCTTGTGCCTGCACAACCATGCAGTGAACAGGCTCCAATGCGCACAACCCTAGACGTGCCTCTCGGGTCAATCCTCTAAACTAGGTCTGCAGAGAGTTGGAAGCGAAGTCTGGGGTCAAGGCAGGCCTAGCTGGACCTTTGTCCAACCACCAGGATATGACACAGCCTTGCTTCTTTGGTGATTTCTCTTCTAGAAATCACATGGCCCACAAGCCTAGATTCCTGTGCCATCTCATGCACTGGTACTTCTTTATTTAGTTGTAAAATGCCCCCATCTCAGGTTAAAAATGCAACTTCTAATCCACGTATGCAGGTTCCTTGTGTTTCCTTGCTTTTTAGAAAGTCAAGTGTTCATGATGACTAGGGACTTGTTCCCAAGACCTAACCTGATAGGTAGCAACACACGTGGGAGTGGGGAACACAGCTGTTTTCAATGTCTGCCTCAGGAGAAATAAAAAAAACTCCCTAAAAAATGGAGAAGGTGCTTCCACATCTTTCATGGAGCCTGTTCTACAGGCCATGACTTCTTCAAGCACACTGGCAGGAAACATTGTTTTCTAGATGAAGATATACACCAGCCTATCTTGATTTGGAAAACGTCTCTGGCCACAAATGGAAAAAAGCAAGATTATGAGCTTCCCATTGTGTTCCAATAGAGGAGGTGGGCAGAATGTCCCCCGAGTCTTTTTCCTGAGAAAGGAGGAGGAGGCGGGGTTGACACCCCCACCCGCTTTGGTGCAGGAGGGGAAGGTGTAATTCTAGAGCTTCTTAGGCGACTGTTCTCTGCAGGTAGAAAAAAAAGTGTCCAGCATCTTCAACTAGGTCGTCCAGGGCCAGGTTGCCTCAGTGCACATTGGCCACTGGTTGCTTTTCCAGGCAATTTTGGCAGGAGTGGATCAGCCAGGCTCCAACACTGCTCAGGGCACACTGACCCCTTAGAGGGATCTGGGCTTTGATTTCTCCCAACCTGCTCAGTTAAGGGGTTTGGGGGATGATTCAAAAGCCCAGGACCATGTGGGACTTCACAGAAACAGACAAACACCTATGTTCGCTCTTAATGTTCTAACATAAGACCTGTTCTCCGTAGCCACTTATTTTACCAGGCTTTCTGAAAGATCTAGTGGTAAGTACACACATGCAGTACTGAAAAGCAACCCCTCCTTCTAGTGTAATAACTGACTGAAGTGTTCAACTTTTCATTATCTTTATTATAACAAACCTGATGCTTTTTTTTTTAAAGAACTTGTTACTCTGACTTCTGTATATGTTGCACTGAAAAGGTTAATATTTAAAAATGTTTTAATTTATTTTGTGTGGTAAGTTAATTTTGATTTCTATAATGCATTAATGTGATTAGCAGTTCTTTTCCTTAATATCTGAATTATTTAAAAAAGTAGTGAGAAATATAAAATGCAGTTGCATTTTTCAGTCATGTGCATTGTTGTTCAGTTGTACTGTACTTTGTTTGGAAAAATGAAGGAATGAACTCTTTTTTTTCCTAAACCAAGACTGAAACTTTTCTTTCATGAGATTGGGATATTAGGGTTTTTCTCTGCAAATGTGACTGAGAAAAAATTAAATGCTCTTTTTCAAAATGTGGGGATCCTGAAATGAACCAGGGTTGATCCCTGTCTGCTTGAAGAAACCAAATTCTTTCAAGTTCTTCTCAATATATATTTCATCTACTATGGGTCCAATAATATGCTCACTGATGTAAAGGAAAATATAAAGCACACAATCCCTGCCCCAAAGAATTGATATCTGGCTGGGAAGACAGATTGACATGCAGAAAATAATTTTGGATCAGTTCTAGACAAAATACAAATTATTAACTGTAAACTAGAGATGACACATTAATAGCTGTAGTTCTCAAAGTGTGGTCCCCAGACCAGCAGTGTCAGTAGTATCAGAACTTCTTAGGAATGCAAATTCTCAGGCCCCGCCCCAACCTATTAAACTCTAGGGGTGCCCATGCCCTCTCCACCCTTCAGGTTATTCTTACACATGCTCAAGTTTGAGAACCACTGTGCCTTAGGAAGCAGTGAGAGCGAATTAGTGTGGGGCTACAGTTTTTAGGAAAAGGCTTTGCAGACGTGAAACTTAACACAAGTTACCCATTAATGTTCAAAGTTAATAATTATCAAAATATGTTCTTGATTAAAGACCTGCATTTATTTGGAACCTTCTCTGCTCAACCTAGTTGAAGAAAAAAACAAGCCTGTCCATCTCCTGCCACACACTGCCCCCTCACCCACCTCCAGCTCACCACTGCCCAGTTTCTAACTGTAAGGAAGTGTTCTAAAACTCAACCTAGTTCTTATAAGCCTCACTGTATTTGATTCCCATGGTTAAGCCTCTGTACCTCTAACCTATGTGGGGACCTCACATGTGCAACCTGTGAGAAGCTCATGCAGACGCAATGGAGAGCAAAATAGTTGCTGAATTGCATGAAATCTTGATCCCCGAGGAAGATAGGGCACTTTGTAGCCAGAAATAAGTGTGTAGAGACTGTTATCCAGGACCCAGAGGGCTTTGGTATCAGCTTAACTTGTAGGAAGATGGATAGTCAGGTACCTTTTTGTTCCAAGATCCCCAGCCTGGTGTCTGTTCCTCAATAGAACCTTCTCTTAGGAGAGAAGAGGGCAAGACCCACTGCCCATACCTGGTATTCCTCCTCATGACCCTATTTAGTCTTCAGGGACATCTGCAGACCTTATTTTCAACCCATGGAGTTTTCTACTTATCCTATTTCTTTTCTTCCTCCCCAATTTGCAAGATCTCTTCCTGCCAAGACTTCCAGTGGCTGTCCCTGATCCTGGTCAGGTATGTGCATGGGACTATCTGCAGTATTGC